TTCTTCAAACAAATGTCTCTGAGGAATTTTTATTCGCATAACCATGACAAAAAACGATTTTGGTAAGTTTTTTTAATTTCAAATACAATTTTTTTCATACGATTTCAAACACAATTTATTCGATTTTGGTAAGTTCAAACACAATTTTTTCGATTTCAAACATAATTTTTTTGCAGCACCCTTTCAATTTTGTTAAGTTTTCTTTGTGTTTTTACAGATTTAATCCTGCCACGTCACTTGCTTAGAGCTTTTTCAATTCCTTACAGCTGAAGGAGTTCCGCAGAGACCCTCTCTGCAGAGACCCTCTCTGCAGAGACGCTCTGTGTGGAACTCGTTGTCATTTTCTGAAACATCCGTTTTCTTGGTCATTTTTTTCAAACACTCCCATTTTTTTGGTCATTTCACAAATTTTCTCCCTAATTAATAATAATAATAATAATAAAGATTCAGCCAAACTTTCGCGTCAATTTGTTGACAATCTCTATGTTATTTCAAGTAAACCCCACCAATTCATACATACATGTTTCATGTTTGTTAAAAGTTTGAAGTGAAGTTTAAAGAAAGACATCATCATTGGAAATTGGAATGCTGCCAAACCTCATCTTCCATTTGTGTTTTTTTTTTCTTTCAAATTCTAAGTAAGTAGGATTGGATGATAAGTTAATTAATGGCATCCCTATCATCCATTTTAATTAATTAAGTTCATGTTGGCATTATTTATGTATATGAGTAACTTTTGTATGTTTTTTTGTCCTTTTGGTTTTTATTTTTGATACCTGCCAGGCTGCCAATTACTTATATAATTGTATTTTGATTTATTCTTTCACTCATTCTTCCCTTGTTTGTCCCGTATACAGATTCTCATTTTAGATAAGAAAGGATTCGCAGGTATGTTGTTGATATGAAAGCTATTTTTGTCAAACACTTCTGAAATACTCATAAAATGACTAAATAAATATAAACCAAATCATTCTAAATGATGAAACTAAGCAGCACTATCATCAACCAAGTAAACCAACTAACCATCCATCCATCTATTTCATTTCCATTATAACATTTCTAAAAATCAGAAAAATCTAAAATGTTACCATGTAACAGCTACCAACTAAAATCTTCCAAACTACTACACCAAACATATACACAAATTAAAAAGTACACAAAACAACTAAAGCAAGCGGATTTTGTACATGACACTGAATGGTAATAACTAATAACAACCTAAAACGAAATCGGTGGTCATGCCTATTTTTATACTAAACATAACTTCTTCTTCATCATCTTCTAAGAGTCTGCTGCTTCCAAATTAGGTTCCACTTCCACTTCCACTTCCACTTCCACTCCCACTTCCGGTTGTTTAGCAACTACACCTCCTACTGCAACACCACCATTCATTCTAGCACGTGCCTCTGCAAACATCCTTTGTTGCTCTGCCAATGCTTCTTCTTCTGTCATCTCTGCCCCATTTGTGCACTTTACACCTCTCACTGTATCCTGTGTATCATTCCCATCACCATCGGTATCAATATCAGTATGAGTTATCATTGGTATAAAAAAGATGAAAAAGTACCATGGTTTCAAGTTTGTGTTGTTCATATGCAGCGTATACTTCTTCTATGTATTCTCCAAAACCAAGAACCTGAAAAAGTTTTTTTACTTTTGTTAAGTTCATGAATACATGGGAAAAAGTGATATGGAGGCAAGGTTGTAACTTTGTAAGTTGTTAAAGTTACGTACATAAGTAACAAACCTCTAATGCTTTGAGTACATGTTCTGGTGCAATTGTTCTTCTGTCTTCTCTGCCACAGACTTCGTTTGATTCTGATGAAATTAGATTTATGAATTCTGCAAATGGAGCAACAATGGAATTTATAATCAAATCAGGTTGTTTATTTTTAACAGAGGGATAGAAAAGTATGATGAAATAATTATCTATCTCACCAACACAACACTCGATTAATAGATCTTGAGTATCTCTTGCAACACGTACATCTGGAGGTAACATTTCTTTGATAATCTTGGTCATGGTAGCTGCAATGAGAAGAATTTGTGTTAGCATATTAAGGGCTTCTACAAGACAAATACAAACAAGCAAATCTGGATTCGTTTGCTTTCTAAAAGAGATTAGAACATACGATAAATAAAATCAATTTTTGATAGTCAGAATAAAAAAAATAACATGAGTAAATTGAAAAATCAGGCACTTGGAAAATCAACCTACAGATCGACGTACACAAAATGAAAAGATAACAAAAGAAACTACAAAATTCAACATGAAAATCAAAATCAACGAACAACGAAATAGTCAAAACTGATGAAACAAACCTTTTGGGAGCGAAGCATCCTCTTTCGTCTTGCCGACGATATCTATAGGTTCCATTTTTCACTCTACGAGAAACAAAAGAAACTTTTAATCATCAGATCTAAATCGAAACGCAACATAATCACATCTCTGGAACATTAAAATTACAGATCTACTAAATATATCTTTTTTTAGTCTAGAAATTAAACCAAAAAAAAGAGCTCAGAGTCACGGATCTACATAAGATTTCACTGAAAACAAATCTACAGAGCACTAATCAAAACTACAGATCTAAAAAACTTATAAACAACAGATTTCAAACTCACCGAGAAGATCAAATCGCGCATCAAGAGAACGACCTGTACCGGACAGAACCAAATCAGTTGTATGCGAATCGGAATAAGAAGGATCGGAGGTGGAAACGATGAAGCACGATGGTTATCGATATAGAGGGGGAAGTTCGCAGGCGACTAAGATCGGCCACGCGCGTTGGGGAGCGTGGTGTGTTGACCAGGTAGGGGCCGGTGCGATTAGGTTCGCGTGGATGGCACGCGAGAAGGGGTGAGAGTGGGGTTGGTAGGCGATGAGATTCATGAGGCTGCGTTTTATAGTTTTAGGTGTTAGGAATACGAAGGGGAGTGTCTGATGAAACGGTGGGAGCGACAAAAGGAGCGAATCGAGTGGATCCTTCGGCTTTCTTCCAATCACAGGAAACAGGAGCCACAGCCACCCATGACTCGGATCGGATCTCTTTGGTAATGGTCTTGGGCTTCACCAAAACTAATTGGGCTAATTAGAGCTCCAGTTCCGCTTATTATCAAAATTCAAATTCCATACATTTAAATTTTGATGTTTTAGAACAAGAAATTAGAGTCAATGATTGATCAAGATTGATATGAATATGTCCAGCACACAAACATGTAAAACTTTTTTTTATAATCATTGAGCGGATTTTGACCATGATCTAATCCAAACTCTTAATATTTATATGAGTTTGAAACATAGTTTTTGATTCGTTTACCCGTTAACAACCCGTATCTGCTTACCCTTTTATTAAAATAGTCATGTATGGATCATCACTGAGTCGATCCGTTTATAACCCGCCTTGTATAAATTCTAGAATTATACATTTATATTTTATATTGCATAAAGTTTAGTTTTAATTCCAAATGAAAGTCTAAAGGGCAAAGGCCAAAGACCAAATTGTTTTTACATAGGACTCGAGGAGTCGACTTCTAGACTTCGAATATTTTACCAATAATCATGATGTCATTTCATTTATATTTCATCTAGCAATCACTAATTTTATTTAAAAATCAATACAGTTATTTACCAACCGGAAGAAAGTTTGTAATTGCTATTCTTTATCACTGCAATCGACAATTAAAAACCAATCGAAAATTACTACAACTTTAGCTAAGCTTTGAGATGTGAAAAAGGTCTATGGGTTGTGTTTTCATATTGATGCATGACCACACTAACCACATCGATATCGTCTTTGTGTTGATTGTTTACTATGTTGTAAATTTCATTGGATTGACAACATTTTACCCTCATATGGCACCACTTCGAACATATTTCGTCGGGATTTCGACTAGTACAACCTATTAAACCATAGAAAATGCTTCGAACTTTTCTCTAAAAATCTCTAGAGATTTGACTATCTCGTTCTTCAGAAAACGACATTCATGCTAGTGCTAACTTCTCTTCTTCATTTTCCGACCAATTCATCATTGTGGGAGCCATGGTTTTTGATATTTAACAATACAAATATGTGAATATGAGTAAAATGTGAGAAAAATTGTATGGAAAATAAGATGGTTTGTAGTGGTATTTATATAGGTAAAAATTAAATAAAGAAAAAACCTAAATTAACCATTACAATGGCTAAAGAAGTGAGTCAAAGAGGAAAACTTTTTTTATTTGTTGTGGTCCATGGTTGTTTACACCACATTGGAAAATGACCACAAGTTAAAATGAGACACCATGATGGTGTCCGTGGTCGTTGTCCGTTGTCATGTAGACCACGGATACATCCTTAGTTTGTATACCGGATGCTCTAATAGGACCCATAGTAGAATAGTTTTTTTTTTTAATGTTTTTAATTAACATCTTGATTGGTGGCTTTAGGTGTTAAATACGGGAATTATGTGGATACAAAATCTGGTTTGAGTTTTGGTGTTAAATCATTATTTTCATTCAGTGATAACATTTTCGTAGGTGTAATGATCCATTGATCAATAGAGGTGGTCTACCAAACCTTAGCCATTGTGCTTGGTATGTGTGTATGTGTTTCGAGCGGGTAGAATACATACCATTAATGTCATCTTGGAGTGGGTTGATGTTTTAACGAGCCGGATGTGACGATAGACTACAAAAGAAACTGTATTTTTTTGAAATTAAAATCACATGTATTTGAAATTGAAACCCGACTCCTCTGCTCAATGAAGACTCTTTGCATCAAGTTAGGTCATGATAAATAAGTATCCAGAACATATATATACACACAAATTAAAAGTATCCAACAGAATAACAAACTATTCTCTATTCTCTGATGTTTCTTTTCCTTCGGTCCTAAAACTATTGGATTTCGTCTAACTCTCTGTTGGTTTTAAGGTTCTTCATATGCAAAGCAATTACATTCAAATTTAGATAGAAAAAATCTACAGGGGAATACAAAATCACGAGTTTACCCTAAAGATCAAGGCAATGGAACGGGGAATCCAAACGATTCGGCTGCAGATTTAGCCATCACTCTTGCGAATTCACTAAAACTAATGACACCATCGCCATCTGTATCAGCCTCTTCGATCATCTCTGTGAGCTCTTTATACGTCAATGGCTGACCCATTTTTGCCATGGCCTTGGCGAGCTCAGCCCTCGTGATAACCCCATTCCTGTCTCTATCAAACGAATGGAAGACCTTGACAAGTTGTGTTTGATTGAAGATGTACTGCTCCGTCGTCATGTCTGGTAACATGGCGCGCACCATTTCCTCGAATTCAACAGCACCGTTGCCATTGGAATCCATGTTGTTGAAGAGCATATCAATCTGATCGCCGGAGGGTTTGAGGCCTAGAGAACGGAGGAGGGCGGCTAGCTCTAGGTGGGTTAGGGATCCATCAGCGTCCATGTCGAACCGGTTAAATATGTCCCGGAGTTGTTTGAGTTGGTCAACCGGTATCAATGTGGTCGACATGGTGGTGGTGGTGGTGGTGGCCGGCCGCCTGATCTTGATCTCATATATATATTGCGACAATCAATGGATTATGGTTGTTTTGATTGCCTGTTTTTTGTTCAACGGCGGCGAGGAATGATAGGGAGGGTGGTTTAGGGAATAAGATAGGAGGAATGCATACATGTACCTTCGGAAGCCATGGAAGCCTCTTTCGTGTTCATAACAACAACAAATAAAATGTAAAGAGAACAGAAAAGGGGGTCATTGATTATATGAAATGTCAACTATTTGGTTATACGAGCTTTTGCAAAATTATTTGTATATGTTTTGATATAATACATACATATATACTCGATCAGGTCGCTTAAATTTTAAAAATAATTATGGCGTCAATAAAACCCGGGCATCAATAAGTATTTGTATTTCGGTGCTAATTCTATGCTTAAGATGGGTCAAGGAAGCATTTCTTTAAGACTTTAACTTTTCTCTTTGCGACTTCGTATTAAAATAAAATTATTTTGGGTAAATTATTAATAAAAAAAAAAATTAAAAAAAAAAAAAAAAAAAAAACTGAAATTTTAACCTGTTTTTAGAACTGATTGCCAATTTTTTTTCTCTAATTTAAACGGCTATAATATAATAGATATTTAAGTGATTATCTCTCCTTTTTTTTTTCCTTTAAGGCTATGATAAATAGTATATTAGGTTTTTACCTTTTAACATGCACCAAGAGAGTGTCTTCAATTACTTCAAATTAAATAATACGAAGACTAATTCTATACGTACCTTCAATTACTTATTGTATCCCTACATCTGAATATTTGAGTCCATGTATACCTTATGTTTGAGTTTTTATCTGAATGAGAAAGTACATATATTAGCATCCAATACAAATTGCAAGGAAAATGCTGCTATATAACCAAAAGAAAACGAGTATCAATAATCAAATGACCCAGATCTTCTAAATATGCAATATGCAGGGTCATACGACACCCTCTTCCGCCTTAAGCGACTCACCTTTTCCTGCGAGTGTAATCACATGACCACCACCGGCACCACCACAACCCACCATACACTGCGAAAATCTGCCTTTTAACCACCCGAAACAATTTCTACTCTTTATAACCTTATCCAAGGGTGCCTCCGCTGCCTGTCTGCCATAAATCCTTCCGAAGACACACGAAAGAATGGTAAGCACCATCAACACCGACATGACTGCAAAGAATGGCCCGATGGATCCTGATGACGAATGAACGTCTCCTTGTGCTATGGGTTCTTGCTCTTGAGGCTGCTGGCTTTCTGGCAATAAAGTTGATAGGGAAGTAGCCATTGTTGGATTGACACTAAGCTTGGCAGTTATGTTTGTTTTGTATATATAATGGATGACATGTACATGTGTTTGTGAGTAATGTACAAGACGGTGATGCTTTCGAATATGCTTTTGGCTTTTTTGAAGATGCAACTCAAAGTGAATTACATGGAAAGGCAAAAGTGTGGGTAAAGTTAAGGCTTATTTAACATGGATTCTTTTGCTTTCTAAGAGGGAAGAACAACCTTTTTTAACTTCCTACTTCCTAGCTAAGATTTCTTAATGCACAATAACTTCGTAAACTATACTTGATTGAAATTGTTATATAAGATATTATCAGAATACACAATTCTAATATGGAAAATATACATTCCGACTTTTTTTTTTATATATATATAAGATATGTGTGGATTTTAAAATTGTTTTTCAAAAGAACAATATAAAATAAGAAAGATTTCAACGTATATAACTACCACTTATATACAAAAGAAATGGTGATAAAAAAAATATTTCATAATAATATATTGAATATTGATGTATTCAAGTTAAATGTTATATGTAGGAGTAATGAGAAACAACCACACTCGTCAAACATCTTTCTCTTGGAACAAAAATTCTGATTAAAAATTTGGATTTACCCAAAAAGTGGCACGATTAATACTTTTTATGTTCATCATATCTCAACCACAATCAATTATGTTAATTAGTATAAGGATTGTATAATTTTTTTTTCTTAAACAATTTTTTGACCCCTTACCATGCCCGATGCATTCCCTCATAACCAATGTAGCTTTTTCATCTAAATTGTATAACCACAAAAACCTTAATTAGCAAAGGAGTCATTACTTTCACCGTGACCAAACAATTCCTCCAAAAAGTCTTGTTAAATACAATTTGTTGCATTTCCCACTTTCAACTGTCTTCTTAAATACTTTAAACACTACCATTACTTATAAATCAACTTTATGTCCAACCACGTTTTTTTCTTAACCAATTCAAAGGACACTTATTATGATTATAACACTATAAGAAAAATAACATACAACCATACTTTTTCGAGCCTTAAAAATGTGACCATATCCCTATAATCACACTTTTTTTTCATCGAAAGTGTGACCGCATGTTCTGACATCATAGACATCTTATGGTCACATTAAAATTCAACATTTAAAAGTGTGATGTAGCATAAAAAAGTGTGGTTATTTTGTTGGATTTAATCAATGATTTTATCGAATATGTGACCGTAAATACTTTTTAGGCACAATTTTCCGTTATTTAAGTGACGTTAGGTGACCGTATGGCAACATGAATGTGTTATAAGAATGGCGTTTGTTATTATTTTGTGACACATAAATTTTTTAAGTATGACTATAACATACATTTTAGTCGCATATAAAAATAATTTAAAGTAAGACAATTCTTTTTAGTCATGGTTAATTTATATTTGTGGTGAATATTGATTACCTTTTAGTTACATTAATTTATGTCAAAGCATGACAAATGAGACCGTTTAGTCAAATAAAGAAAAGCCATAAAGAAAAAATATGACCATTGTTTGGTATTAGTGATACATAATAGTTAAAACCATCGTTGAATAGTATTTATAGCAACCAGGGGTGGAACACAAGACTTAAAACTAGGGGGGCCGAACGTTATCTATGTTTTTGTTTACAAGCCATGAGGAGTTTTATATTAACAAATACTTTTATATATAAAAATTACTTTAAAATAATTAAAAAAACTACGATGTATTTAAATATCACCATAATTGACGTGTATTATGAAAATAAAAACTAATAACATTAAAATTAACATAAAATAATATAAGATACCAAAATAATTTAGATAAAACAATTAGGTTAAAAGCATACAACACACACTTCAACAATTTAGGAGGTGGACGGCGGAGAAAACTAAAATATTGGACAATAACATAATCCAGGCGATGGCAGGCTGAGAGAAAGAGAATTAACCGTAATGAGTAAAGTGAGGTCTAAAGAAATATAACCATTACGGTTGACAATAGATCGACGGGTAATGGAACGGCGATGAGTGGAGAGCCAGCGTAGTTCTCCGGTGTCCGATGCTTCTTCAATCTTCTCAATATCTCCTATTTTACGATTTTATCGATTCGATTTCACGTTTTACTCCGGTGTGGTAGTGGAATTTATATCTAAACTTTTTTATTTCTGTTGTATAATTTCTACTATTTCATGACGCACCTTCTTTATTTTTGGAATTTGTGGAATTTCGACTGCTATATTCTAGGATTGAACGAATCCATCGGATTCGTTTGCCATTTTTTACCCCATGAATTTCTTGGGCTAAAATTACACATATATATATTTTTTAAATACATTCTTTTTTAGATGAAACGAGTACTTTGCCATTATAATTGATCGATTGATAGAGCTAATTCTAGAAAAATTTGCTACATAGTGATAAGTTATGGTTACTAGGCTCAAAAGCAGGGGGGCCATTGCCTCCCCTGGCCCCTTAAGCCCTCCGCCACTGATAGCAACACATTGTTTCTAATTAATGTGACTCATTGTTACCCTTTAGTGACATTTATTAATGTTAAAGCTGGGCATATGCCATCATTTAGGCACATAAACAACACACATAAAAAAAATACGACCATTATTTGCTTTTCGTAATACATAATTGTTAAAACCATCGGTAAATAGTATGTATAGCAACACATTTTTTCTAATTGATTTGGTTATTTGTTACCCTTTAGTGACATTTATTATGTTCAACCGTGAGATGTGATATCATTTAGTCACATAAATATAACTCATAAATAAAAGAATGTGATCATTGTTTTGTAACACCCGGTCCTTGCAGGTAAATTCCTTTCTCTATTTGTTAAGTATAAGTGTTGAATTTTGATCTGCACATGACGTAGATAACCTTCTATGCGCTGCATAGAAGGATAACTTGGAGTCAGGGTTTTAATGACCTACGTTGGGGGTAGGTATGTGTACGCAACGCGTACTGGCCTAGAGCCCAAACCCTAATTTCAGTGTTTTGAGCCCTATTAAGGGCTCTAACTCTCTTGAGACCCTTCCATCATCAACTTCCATCCTCCCAAATGACCCCCTTGTAAACCTTAATCTCCATTTGTGAGTTTTGAGCTTTTTTGAGTGTTTTGTGTTCATATTTGAAGGAAGGATTCCATTAAAAAGCACTTGGGAAGCTTCAAGCCTTGTGGATCTGGAACTTGCATCTCATAAACATTCTCCAAGAGGTATAAAGTTCAAAACTTGATGAATGTTTTGTTAGATCTTGTTATTCCTTATGTTTATGTCCTTTTAGTCTCGTATTCTTGGTCTAATTTGGTATGATATACTCCACTCCTTATGAGTAGCCCTTTTAGACGCTTTTGTGTACATGGAATCGTAAAAATGCAATCTTGGTCCCTTCCTTCCACCCATGCATGAGATATGGAGCTTGAGATTGTGTAATAAGTTAGGGTTTTGGATTTGAACTCTCTTTAGCCATGCAAAGGCATAAAGTTGGATATTTATGATTTAGAACGTTCATTAGGGTTAGATCTGGGTATTGAGTGAAAGGTCTTAAGGAAATATGTGCTTAATGTGAGTTTTAGATTTGCGGCATTTACGTAGTGCGTAATCTAGGATACGCCCCGCGTAGCCTGGTGGACTCTTGTTTTCAGGATAAGGCTCTACGACATGTGTAGAGCTGGTGAAACATCCCAAAAATACAGGCCAAAAATTTCTTTTTAAAATCATTTATAATTAAAACCATAAGTCATCCATCATTATAGAGAAAACCATAAATAATGTATCTCAAACATCGTGTCAAAATATTGTATCAAAATCATATGAGAAAATATCAGAGTCTAAACATCCCAGGCTGAAACTGTGGTATGTGCCATACGATCATCCCGAGCCCTTCCCCTTGCTAGTGGGAGTACTTGAAACCAAAATTGAAAACTGTAAGCACGAAGCTTAGTGAGTTCCCCAAACTACCACATACCCTACAAATAACATGCAACTAGGAGATACGAGCCCCGCTCACTCTCATGGAGATTCGGGCCCCGCCCACACTCCGATGTCTAGGAGATTCGGGCCCCGCCCACACCCCGCTATCTAGGAGATTCGGGCCCCGTCCACTCTCATGGAGATTCGGGCCCCGCCCACACTCCGCTGTCTAGGAGATTCGGGCCCCGCCCACACTCCGTTGTCTAGGAGATTTGGGCCCCGCCCACACTCCACTACTAACATGTATACGAGTATCACACAGACAACAAGTACATCTATCCATCAATCACATACCTATACTCAAGTAATAATATAAGCGTCAGGCCCTGCCCATTCTAAACTACTATATATCACTTATATGGGCCGGCCTTGGTGCCGAGACCCGTTCCTACTGAAGGAAACTCACCTTCAATACTGACTGCTTAAACCCTAGTGAGAGATCCCTTTCTGCTGCACCGGCGACTCCCCGACTATCAATTCCAATATAACACTTAATCAGAATCTGCTAATCCTTTCTTAGGGTAAAATGACCTTTTTACCCCTGGTCAAGGTCAAAGTCAAAGTCAAATCCCAGTCAACCCTACTCGTCGAGTCCTCTCCCAACTCGGCGAGTTCGTGACCAAATCAGACCCCTGGTCAACTAAGTCCACTCGTCAAGTCCCTTAACAGACTCGTTGAGTTCTTCCTGACATAACATCAGGACATATCGACTCCTACTCGTCGAGTCTCTCCTTGGACTCGTCGAGTTCTTCAACTTCTGAGTCCTAATCTTGTCCAACTCACTGAGTCATCTCCTTGACTCAGTGGTTTCGCTCATAACCATAAAAAAGAGTTAAGGTTCACGACCCGACTCGTCGAGTTCGAAGAAAAACTCGCCGAGTCCTCCTTGTGACATTTCCATTCAGTCGATTTTAATCCATTTCAGTGCTTTCAACTCATAGATCTGGATACCTTAGGCTAACCTTTCGCGTAGAGTTGCTAACTTTACGTGCATGCATGATGTTATAAAGCTAGAACACC